ATGATGTTTAGCGATGTTGAAACGGTATCTGGTCAAGTCTGGTATCCATTTCTGAAGTTCCTTAAAGGTAACCTTATCAGCCATAATAGACAAAATCTGCCTTCGGGTGCTCCAGTGACTGGTATTTCTATAGCATTCTGCCAAAGCATCCAACAGAGAAATATCTTTTTTTTCATCTTTATCGAACTTGTCACATGTTAAGCCTTCAAGCAGAGCGGTCGACTGGCCAGGCGCGATTTCTTCCAGGCAATTAGTAACAACTTGGCGAGCTTTACGCATGTGGAAACGTTTTGTACGGTCTGAAAGCTGTTCCATTGGCGCTGAAAGAGCGTATCTGATCGGACTTACATCCCTTGAAATGAGAAATGCATTCAGTTTTTCCCTCGGTGTGGTTAGAGTGGTAGATTCATCTTCTGAGATAGGGGTTCATAGGGGTTTCCGTAACAACACCCGCTGATGCTTGAAACGTTGGGGTGGTAAATTGTGGGCAAAACTTTACTTTCTCATCCTCATTATCACTATTCTGGAAATAGAAAGTACATACTAGTAGTAAGTATTTAGTGGAAATAAAACAACTATTTGCTTTTTTCTTCTTTTCATTTATTTATTTAGTATTAAACAACATTATTAGCGCAGTACATACAAATGCCGCAGGTGCGCCATTTCCTGCCAAAAATGTAAATAAAAAGTTTCTCATATTCGTTGAATTTATTAAATAATCGATTGCATCGCACAGTAACTCGGTAGTGAGCAGCACACTCAAATTTAGTTTTTCGCTGCCATCAATCAAAAATAATCAGTCCGTACCTTCTTTGTTCTTGACTGGCGGCAGTGAAAAACCAATTTCACAACAAGCCAATGAAATGTCTGAGTTCACAGAATATGGAAAACCTCAGTAGTGAACTACTAGTTCTAAYTTACAAGTGTTAATGCACTCATCTGATCGAGAAGACTTTCTGCTTTATTTGGAGTAATTGGCCCAAATGTCTTCAACGTCTTACGACAAGATGACCAGATACTTGACAAAAAAAAAAGCATATCAAACATTCAGATACAATCAATTAACAGAAATTAAATATTCATTACATATTTCTTACCTGATCCAACTTGCAGGAAAATGCCAGTCTTCTTTAATATCAGCTGCGAATCGTCCTTACTAATACCCCTAT